AGTCAACACACAACCTGAGTGATCGTTTTAACAACAAGATGAACAACCCTGAAGGCGGTAAAAGGTCGCCCTTGGAGAGAAAAACTGAGAAGATTCGAATTAGGTCATTGGAACCTGTCCAAATGTCGAATTTGATCGCTTTGCGCTCACTTCGAGGGGGCGATGCGCAGTCTATGGTTCGATCATCGAGTCAATTCGATTGGGGAGTCATTCGAACACGGAGTCTTCGAGGGCACGGAAACGCTCCTGATGCCGTTCAGGATCAACACGATACGAGGCCCCCCGAGACTCCTGACATTTGCTTAGAGACTGTCGTTCCCATGGAGTTCACGGCTTTAGAAGAACTGTGAATCCTATCACGAATGGTCCGACTTCTCAAAAATCACTGCGGATTTCTATCGGAGTCGTCCGTCAATCAATGGCAATCGGTAATCTCCCATTCGGGCGACTCGGCCCGTAACGCTCGAGAGGGACCTCAAACAGCGCTTGCGGGTTTCGTTCTCCAATAACATCACGAGGTGATTTCGGAGCGACGCCGACTCTCGATTCAGCCGGAAACTTCAATTTTTTGTTGTAAAACTGGGCCTTCAATTTAGGTACACGTAGGTTTGCTCGAGCAGAGCCCGTTCCGCGAAGGTGCTACAATTGACTTTCACAAAGTGTGATTCATGTATATTCACTATGAGCTAGCTACATTATCAGTCATCAGTCTTCCGGTGATTCCTGCTGCTATCGGGGTGTTGAATTAGGGTCCGACGAGCTAGTACGACCACATAGGTAAGCGCCCTCTCCGGGAGTCGCTGACGGCTCCCCTCGATAGTTTCATCATAACCTCGAAAATGGTAGCGAGTCTTCCTACTAAGACTTCCGATGCTCCCCGTCGGAATCATCGGACCATATCATGTGATGACATGCGACTCCGGGTCGCGCCCTGCAGTATTTTCCGTATCATCAGTTTCTTCGATTCGCGTTGAAAAAACATTGCGTCATGGTGCTATCCATTTGATTCGCGGCTCGCGTTTGTGAATGTCCCCGACTTCAATGAATCTCGCTCGGAAATCGAATATGTGGGGACCGCTATCCTTATGTGCCGCGACATCGATCTGGGCTGACTTCACAAGGGTCGAGTACCTAAGTGGCTCAATGTAAGATGAGTCAGAGAAAAGTTCACTTTATCATCGGTGCCATCGAATTGAAAGCTTGATTGGATGAATGTGACGCCAAAATGCGCACATATGTAGATAGGTAGATAAGGGTTTGTATGTAAATGAGTGAGTCGATTCCCTCCCTCTCGAAACCCACGCGTTGCTCCGAACGCTCACGGAGTTTCCGAAGATCATTGATACTCGCACCTCGACGGGCAGAATGGGGGAAAATGTTCCCATCTTGAGGGGCTGGACCGGCTCGCATTAAAAACATCGGGGGAGTATCGTTTGCGTTCGTCGGACAAAGGTTCTTGCTCTTCGCAGTTGAGCTCGGGACGAAACCTCGAGTTGAGTTTCTGTTGTAGCTCCCGATTGTCGAGGGTGAGACCATTGGAGCCGACTTGCCCTGAGTTTGAGTCTCACTTGTTCCTCAACCGCTAATTGACTTCCTTAATTCTGGGGCTTCTGGATGACCATCATCATAGTGACGGGCACGTCGCTTTCCGTAGTTCTCGCAGAGATCATCACGTTTTGACACTTTCATGTAGGCTCCTTCGTTTGCTCGAAAGCGCTTTTCAGAGTCGATGAAGGTGCCGTGGATACAGTGGTTTCGGTAATTGCCGAAGTGAAGATGTTCTTTCATGCTTTGTCGTGCTCAAGTATATCCGCCGACACATACGTAGCTTTCGCAGTCGGTTTGCTCCGGGATCTGACTTAATAGATATTCCGATTAGTGGAGCGTCGAACCGTCGGATATTGAGACCGTCGGCGAGAGACGAAGTGGGATCTTCAGCAGATCGGCTGATTGTTTCTTCCAGGATGTTTGGTCGTTCGTTGGCGTACCCAGCCTTCACTGAAGGAGCATCTCTGATATCGCCGTTCGATGTCTGGGTCGACTATCCGTTTCTCTTTCTAGGGCGCGCATTCTGAACGTATCCGCAAATAGATAAGTTGCCAACAAGCGGCGAAGTTCCTGATGTACCAGATGGAGTGGAGGAGTCCATAAAAGCCCTCGGTGTCTTACTCCTTGCAATGTACTTTCGTAGGAGTGGGAACACCGTCTTTTCCGGAAGCATCAACGACGAGCAGGGTCTGAGTCATTGAGTTCTTGTTTCTTCTGAGTGGATGGGACGGACTAGGCCTCTCTGAGCATAGAAGCTGCTCCTAATATCTGCTGCTTCCTTCTAATAAGCGACATATCCGCGGTGCGATCGATTGTCACCAGACACAGACGTGGAGCATCATCAGTTTTGCAAAATTCTATATGATTTCGTCAGAGCCGAATGGATGTCGATCAGTACGTCGACTCTTTTACCAAGTCCATGTCGAATGTTCTCCCAAGTCCACACCAATCGAACCAGTGGTTCCTAATGTTGTCTCGTCGTTCAATCCCGACGCTCAGTGCGCTCTGCACCGAGATGAAGGCGGTGTCAGCTACCTCGTGATCGATCTGGTGGGGTTTCAAGGTGACTCTGAAGCTGACCAGGTGGTGTCCATGAATAGCAACCCGTCACTGGTTGCTTAGGGGTTCTCCATAACAAATGTTGTGCAGGTTACAGAAGGTACCTTGAGGAGGATAGAATACAGATTGTGATTGTGCTTATCCCTGACTCCGAGTGATGCTGTGGGAGAGGGAGAAGTAGTCGCAATAATAGCTGTGATGAAGGTAGTAGTAGTGGTAGTAGTAGTAGTAGGAGTAGAAGGTTGTTCGCAGCAGCAGCAGCAGCAGAAAGGGGATGACAAGAAACTTGACACACTCAATAGCTGTGAGCTTCGTGTGAATTTTTTTTGCTCGGAGACTCGTGCTCGTGTGATGGCAAACATGCTTAGCGCAGTTTGCTGCTTCCGGGAACGGTGCTTTCTGAGCTTCATGAGCTTCGGCTCATCCGCGGAATCCATCCATCAATAGCATCTTTGCTTCGATCGAGTGTCACTTACGGTTGGTTCAGTGATAAGGATGAGCGGTTCCAGCTTCCAGTGAGACGGTGTGGAAGCTTGCGTTTTATCTGACTTGCTCGCTCGTTCGCTTGCTTGTGCTCATAGGCTGATAGTGTATCACAGAATGTAGAGATGACAAAGGGCGGGAATGGCGCAGCGAGTATTCCGGATCAATATCGACGTGACGGCAGTGAATACCCCGCTGGCCTGGGTGACTCCAAGCGAAAGCGGAGCGGAGAGAGCCACCCTGCTCATTTCATGTGAACATCACATTCCAGAGGTGCATACGTGAAACGCAATCTTCCTCATGATGATGGAAGCGTGACCAGAATCTCTGACCTCTCTGAGTATTCCGATTCCCCTCATCGTTCCGGTGTTTTTTCGTGATCGTGCATGAGAGTGGCAAGCGTGCGTTTCCAGTGAATTTCTCGGATCGGACGGCGTCCGGAAGCTTCAGATCTTTATCGTCTGAATCGATTTCGAAGTCGAGTCAGGATTTCTCAAGGATCGATCAAGCAGCCTCCTGACCTCTGTCTCACCTCAGCTGCATGGCAACTTTGTTCGCCGATTATCTCCAAATCATAAATTTTCTGTTCTTACGCTATATATTTACGTATGCCTTCACCTCCGATCCGAATTCTCCGAAGTCGGTCGGCCGTATAAAAGACCCCCATCCTCAGTTCAGAATTTCAGACGATAGAGAACTATCCGCGTCAGTCAGTCGACGGATTCGGCGAGTCATCGGCACCGAATCCCCGTCCCCGATATCCGATGAGAAAACCGATTCTGAAAACGTCGCGTATCGTGTATGTTGTGCAGGTCTAGTGTGTGGAGTATCGCGTCTTGTGCTGCTCTCAGCAGTAGCGGTATTTGCCGTGATCATGGTGAAAATGTTCAGCGTGGTTGCTCCGACAACAATGCTTGCTGTTGTCATTCCAGTCGTGAATGAGGCGTGGATCGAAAGTGCTCCGGAGTGCTGCCGCTGTTCTTCATGAACCATTCATGAAAGTTAGTGATGAAGGAAAGCGAGCGAGGATTAGGGTCGGAAGGAAGAGAAAAAAGAAGCTCTCTAATCGCTCAAAGAGGCAGACAGATAAAAAGTCGGTCGGTCAGCCAATCAGACAGTCAGACAAGGTAATCAACGAATCAATCAATCAGTCAGTGAGTTAGTCAATCAATCAATCAGTAAATCAGTCAACGGAGGAATTCAAAAATCATTGGTTCCGCCTATTTTCGAATGACGCCGGAACAACTATACTACCATGTGTTAGAGCGATCATTACAAATTCGGGATTGAGTGGGCGATGCTGAAGCCTTTTTTGTTCAGCCTGAGAGCGAGAGGTTCGATTGCAATCGATCGGGCATGGAACCTCAAGAGGCAGGCTCTCCCAGGGCCGCGGTCGCTTCATCGAGCCAGAAGACGAAAAATACGAGGAACGCTGGATTGACCCCGTACTTGCGTATCTTTCTGCACATCGTGGGGCGAAATCGATGGGGACTCTCTCAGATAAGATCCGTTCAGTAGAGCGCTGTGACATTTGCCATTTTTTTCGAGTCCGACATTCATTTGACGTCGCATCCATCGTCTAGAGAGGTACAAACCGGTCGGCGGTCTTATTGTGTACAATGTTCAAGAACAGGCTCATCATAGAAATGGCGTGGCTGACAGAGTTCTCCGCTACGACGCGACTCGAGACGTCGACGTCGGTACAGATGAAAGATCCACAAATCGGATCGTTTGGCCATGATCCGTTTGAAAGAAGAAGGAGCTCCGGATCAACGAGCTCGAAAACGTTGGAATGGCTACGTGTCAGTGGTTTCGAGATCGATGTTCAACTGTGTGTGAACGTGCTGCGACGAGCCCTGGGAGGCGTTCCGGAGCCCTGGGTGATGATCTAATTTCTTCAACTTATGTACCTGGTATTTCTTTCTGTTGCAACGCCCCTTAGAGCCGCAGCAGGAATTAAGCAAACCATGTCTCTCGTTGGATGCTTCTGAAGCAGCTGGAGACAGCGGGGGGGAAGAACTCGGCCTATTCGGATTCCCGCCATTGTATGGCACTTCCAGCTCTACGAACTCCCGGTCCTGGAAGGAAAATCGGAGAATTCGAAGTTCGTAAATGAATCGCTCAGTAGCGTGCAGGGGGAGACGGTCCGCCCTGGGGCGGCATTCCTGAGTTCAGCATTCAGGGAAACGGCGATTCCCTTGCAGAATCTCGGCATTCCGGTCGAACGAATCCGGAGAAGAATGGGAATTCTCAGAAGAGTCCCCCTCGAGGGACGGCATTTTTGTCGATTGTGGTCAAAGAAATGAAATGTCCGTTCACCGCCTCGGGCGTCGCAAGGAGGTTGCGCGCCACTGGAATCACTGATCGGATCCGAAGGCGCTGTCCACAGAGAATATTAAGGAAAGTGACCGTTCCCCGGCGAGAAAATGAATAGCTCTGCCAGCGGCCAAGACCACGGCTTTGTCTATATTCTCTCATGACGATCATCTCAAGAGCTTTGCATCACGTCATGAGGCAGGGGCATGATCCTTCCTCCCGTTCGTGCTATAATTTTCAATTAGAAGAAAAACAGACGCTCGCATTGATCATTCCGCGGCACTCCTCAGAGCCCCAAATCACCTTCTTGCACAACTTGATTTAGTCTCAAATCAGAAAGAAGGGACGATGCGACCTCGAGCATGGCGAGTTTCCCCAGAGGGGGCTTAGCTTGGAGGCATCCCCCTTTAAGGGCGCCCCATCTTGGGAAGACTTGACGTAGGTATTGTTGAAAAAGGCTTTGCGAGCTGAAAGCTTTTTTCACGACAAAAGTTGGCGCGACGCCAAGTATCTTATGACTTATGACCGGAGAACCCTCGCGGGAACGGTCCACATCAGGATTCCCCGACCGAGTCTCTGTGGACGCATTTGGGCTGCCCTTCCTGAGTGGTTCACTGCGTCCGCGGGCTAGCTGCAATGTCGGTTCGGAGCTGACGATTGCTCTTGTGCGGATCCTTCCATATGATCGAGTCGGGCGTACAGTGTGTCGGGGTCCAAATTCAAGCGCTCGGAGACGATCGGTCCTCTTATCCGTCTGAGGGTGATCGAATTTTGATCTAACCGCGCTAATATGCATGCGATCGACCATGTCACAAGACCGCCGATAGCGCAGCGACAGACAAAGCTGCTCTCCGCTCTCATGGGGAAGCGGGTCTCAGAGAATCGTCGGTAGCCCAGAATTATCTGTCGCTCCTGATGCAAAGGAGATCCTCCCCAGCTTGCTTGATCTGGCAGAGGTATCCGTGACAATTATTTCCGGTGTGGCGATGGCTATGCCTGCGCCGTTCGCTCATTGCCAAGATATCGCAATCGCCCAAGACTTCGACGATCGTCAACCTGAAGCTATACAGCATGAGCTCGTAGTAACTGACCGTTGTTTTCTCAAGGCAACGCAGCAAATGATGATGCTGCAGCTCGAAGATGTCTTCTGGACCGTCATCGATGTCCTGACCGCTCTCCTGTGCAGCAAGTTTTGCTTCCACCGCCTTCTTCTTGGATACAAATGCCGCGCCGCTTGTAGCCTTGGCTATTCGGATACGTGCCATTCTTGCTTTCTGCAAGGGAAAAATACATAGATCAGGGGCCGTCTAAACTCAATGACTGCGGGGAGCAGATAATCAGTAGTCCAGGTCGATCTTCATCCTAAACCATATCAGAGCCATATCGATGAATTTCCTCGGCTCATTCGCAGTCGGATCGAGTGAGAGGCTTTCTCGAATGTTAGTTGGATGATCCAGAGGTCCCATATGTCCATCTTGAGTGGAGCAGCTCGTCGCCTATACGCCAGAATCGGACGACAAGAGCAACAGAGGCACATCTGCCCCTCTGACGAACCCATCATCGAGATCGGAGGCTTACCTTTTGAGCCTTTCGTTTGTCCGCCCGTTGGCTTTGGTGGTAAATTCTTGAGAAGTTCGACACAATGACAGGTACGGGCAACGCGATCACGAGCACTCCACTCAGTGAACACACGCCGCCCACGATCTTGCCCGTTATTGTACCAGGGACCATATCTCCATATCTGCAAAAGAAAGTCCACCTCAGCTTATCTTTGAGCCCACCAGAGTCTGCACAAGGTCGATCCACGGATCAACACCCAATGTGATACTACAATCGAATAGTACCTTCAAGCCAGGATTGATTAAATACGCGACAAATTCCTGTTCATCAAAGCTCATCTCAGAATGATTCGCCCTCGCCGAGGCTCCCCGTTTCTACCACGCGCGAATTCGGAACGAAACTCGGAAGGGGACCCTCGGCTCGGGCCATGCCTCTCGTGGAGGGATGCGGGTTGCTAGTGGGCAATTTAAGCAAAAAAAGGTTGAGGTTCGAATTTCTGAGGTTTTCGAACACCGTGCCCTCGTTGTAGAAGTTTGACGATTCCACAGGTATGAGATTCTATTCAGGGGGCGTCAGTCGAAGTCAGCGTCTCGTCAGGAAGTACCTAGCCCGGCGGTACATCCATCCGAAGATACGCAGGAGGGACTTTTTCGATTCTGGAAAGCGGTTAGAGACGTGGAAGCCGGCAATCGGTTACGCTTCAGATGAGACTCACGCCGCCTGAACCAGGTTCGCACGGTCATCGAAGAGAGATTGATATCGAGCCATACGAGACTTTTCCTCGTTTGTTTAGCAACATCTCCGAAACGCTTTCATTAGCCTTTTCACATCCTCGAGTTCACCATCATGAGGTAATGAGTTTGCCCCGTGCAATGTGGAACGAATTCCTTCGGCGCATCCCGTGGGCGTTCGAGGCCATCGCAGTCAGCGAACATCGATCCTCGCTCAAAATCATCGCAAGTTGTCTCCTTCAGCAGTCTTGGTTCCGAAGCATACGTGACACGGAGAGCGCTCGGCTCTTTTGTACGAACTGGTGAATGGGAAGGTGGGTCTCTCCGGCATTCTAGGTGCAGCCAGACATCGAAGCCGATGGAAGGTTCCGAAGACTCTACCGTGGATGGCCGAGCCTGTACCAATGGTCAAAATAGCAGCCTGCCGCGAATGGCTGAACCGCGGGCTCGCAGAAGCGGCGAAGTTTCGTCAATGTAGACTGAAGAACTCCGAACCGAACCCTCTGGTCGAGCATGAATGCATTCAACATCGGAATCTATGCTTGGATCCATGATTATACTTCAGAAGTTCTCGTTTGTATCAAGCGATCCGTGCATCCTCCGATTCCATCTAGTCTCTCCAGGCTCAGCATATTTTCGTTAAATGGAAGAGTATGGGATCATCCGATGACGGCATCGGACCCGAGTGCCTCCAAGCTAATAACTCCCTCCTCAAATCGGAGCGTGGAGTGATCGATAAGGTGTCGGCTGATAGGCTCTTTTGAGTAATACGCTTCACTCGAAACGATCATTCCTTCCTTCGACAAACCGAGCTGAAGCAGGATTTTCCATCGGAGGAACTGGCCAACCGACACGAGCTCCGACTCTCCCCAGGATAGCGAAGACGTCAAGAAGTCCACGCAGAGTCGGCTTGAGACTCAAGACCCGGAACGACATCAGACGCCGCACGGTGAGGAGGTATTCCCGAGCTCCTACTGATAGTTCTGTCATCAGTCAATATGATTTAGCGGCATGGGCAAATGATCTCGAATTAATGGAGTATCGTAGATTCCGGAATCTCCCGAATGTTCCCCGAGTACCGACAGAAGAACTGGGGAATTCCTCGCGAAGCCAAAAGAGTCCTGGTAGACAGTCAGCCTTTGCGAACTCAATAGACCTTGTGAAGTCTCAGCATTTTCCGGACTTGTCCGCTCCCAGAATCACTCCGGCATTCGGTCGGCCGATCCTTCCCCGTGTGTCTGCCGCAGTTTGTCTCCTAGTGCTGTCATTTCGACAAGCATTCAGGTCATGCTCTGACGGTCTTGCGAGTTGCGATAGGGAAATTATGCTTGTCGACTTCTTCGTGTCTCCCGAGAGCCATTAGGAACCAGCCTCAGCACTGGGCGGTCGGGTACATGAATATGCAAGTTGGACTCAGCAGAGATCCTCGACTACACGTATCTCGACGATCAGACTCCGACGGAAGCCATAAGAGTGCATATTGTAGATTCGTCCTGAGCTCCCGGGCGATTTCTCTTTCTTCTCATCGCTCGATTCGAGTTGGATATGAGAGCTAGTGAACGAGTCGGAAGTGTCGGACCACCTGAAGATCACGTTGACATCCCAGCCGCTGACCGGCACCCGCCAAAGAGCTTCCTCGCGAAAATCTGGGAATGAGATATCGGCGTCTCTACGCCCGATGGAAAAAAAGGAGGTTTTCTCATGCGTGGAGGTTTTCCGCGGAGCAATAGCTCGTGAGGGATTTCATAAGAGATCAAGCGAACGGCAAAAAACAGGCGGGGGGCACCGGAGCAAATCCTGTCGTCCTTAGTTGCCGAAACGCATCTCCTCATCTATGATCATTGACAAGCCACTGAGAACGAGTCGCGCGGATGAAGTAATTGAAGGAACCTCGGATCAATGGTGCTTTTCGAACTCTGAGCTTTGCCATTCTCTGAATTCCAGATGACTTACTGAAACTCCCATGACGAGAAAAAACAGATCCCGTGTGTGAGCCTCGCAGAGGATTCCTCTGAAGGGTTCTGTCATTGATTCAAGTTCGGACCATCGCACTCGAGTTCGTGGGGCTCCGAACTCACGGTACGCTCAACCTGTGCACTCAAAATCAGCGATACGCTGTTATGGAACATACTTGCGCGTAGACTATATGGCACCAACAGCTTGTATCAGAGGGAGGCTCCACTTCTCTTGGAAACCGGGTGGCCTTCATTCCGAGCAGTTTGTCGACACAGAGCGTTGCTCTGATCGGGCAATTCACCGGATCTGCGATCTCGGTCTCGAAGTGGAGTATCTGTCGGGTCTCCAACGAAAAGTTCCCCAGCCGGGGTTCCCGGCCTAACGCGATCCGCTACCGAGCCAAGATCCTTGTCAGCCTCGGTTCGGCGACTCCTCATGTAGACTTCCTAACTCCTCGTTCGAAAAAGGGGTCTTCGCTGGTCCCGATTGACGGCTATTGATGATATCCGACGATTGGTGATCCGGAAGATCTCATCTAACCAACCGCAGAGGTGGGTAAGATTCGCCCTCAACTTCCCTGATATTTTGCGAACCCCCTCGTTGCAAGAAACGCGTTCCGAAATCCTCTGTCTTCGTATATATTGGAAGGGGCTAGACTGCGGCTCGATGGGCCCTCGGAGGGGATTAATTTCGTGGATTGCTTCTGAAAGGCTCCGAAGTTGACTTGAATTCGACAGCGTTAGGAAATCAGTCAATCGCCACCCTCGGTATGAACGTCAGCAATTCTTGTCACTCGCAGGAATGGTCAAGAGACAGCTCCAGGACCACGACGAGACCGCATAGTAGGCAGGCTGATGTAGCGTGGGACATCCGTCAATGTCGAGCCTGCTCCACGGTAGATAGATGAATACATGGGTGTGGAGGACAGAAATTCAGATCAACACTAGGTTCGGTAACAATATGCGCTCAATAAGTTAAAAAGGAGGAGGCGTCGTACTTCCCGACGGAGCGGCTCCACCATTGTTCGACCGTCATAATTCAAAGAGGCCCTCGGAAAGAGCCTTTGAGCGAACGTCCGAAATTTTTGCCACACTTTGAGCGGGACCGTGATCTCGGTCGGAGTAATGCGGCGGATTGCATGCACTCATCTCATTGACACCAGCATTGGCGCTTCGACCTAAATGAATCTCTGCTCAAGATTCGCACAATCTGACCTCACAGGTTCCAATGGATCGACCTTATCGCGGCTCGGCAGGAATTATTGCTCAATTGGCCGCGTGATCAGCCTAGTTCCAGTCCCGATGATGCGCCGAGGGGCAAAGGCGCCAGAGTCGGGGAATTTCTGGCAAGTTCGCAGATTCCTCGGCGAATTCGTCTCCGGGGGGGCAACATTGGAGAATTTCGTTGGGTGTGGAGGAGCTGCTCCAATCCGAAACAGATGAGAGCCGTGGAGAGGACTTCAGCAAGATTGCTGTCACTCTTCCCGTTACGAATATATTGCCGAGATACGTAGACAATATCTGCGCTCTATCTCGACGGATACGCACAACGGTTCTCGGAAGAGAGCAGAGCTCATCAGAGTTCCCGGGGACGCTAGGTTGTAGGGCTCCGACAGCTATATTGGTAGTTGTTGGTGGTTCATATTTCTTGCGAGGATTTCGCTCGATGAATAAAGAGATGCGTTGCATGAATCACCATCGTTCGCGCAGACTTTGAAGGGACCAGAATGAGCCTCATCGCTCACTGGCAAAATTATTTACGGTAGCTCACTGGAATAGGTGCCATCTCGGCACTCTACCCGTAAGATCCTCTTCTCACGCTTCCGGTCTGACTCTCCGGAATTCTCGGAGGCTGGCTCGGCTCAGAAGATGAGGATATACTCGACGGTGGAGTGTCGTAGGAATATTCCCCTACAAGCATCGCAGGACTTGACTCGCGCATGAGGCTAAACTCGGACAGCATAACTACTCTTGTTGTCGCCCTCGAGTGAAGACTACACAGGTTCTCCGGGGAGTTCTGTCAGTGAATCCGAACGGCTACATCTCGAGAGTAGCTCGTAGCACGGCGACGTCATTTTTTGATCAGAAGAGGCCGCCCTCGCGGACTGTGGTCTTTGATGGGGGCAACACAGGGTTCGAGCCTCGACCGAAGGACGAGAGTCGACGTCGCTTGCTTTCCGATTCTACGAGGTCTTGTAAAATGAGGCTAGAGCAGACTCTCGCTTCTTCCTCTTTCGTCAGCCCCCCGAACTGAGCACGGAGCTCCGCTCGTGCGACGGACAACTCCCTGCTCGTACAGAGCGGAAGGTTTTAGCGGGACCATGCTGACAATCGAGTGTTGGTTGCAGAGTTCCAGCGAGGACCATGTTCATCATTGACTCAGTGCCCGCTCACCGGCTTAGGTGTCGGTTCGCCGAGGTTTTATCCAAGGTGCGAGAATCAACGAAACTTTGAGCTTATTGACCCATTATTCGAGCTCGGTGGAAAATATTCCC